GGGAGGAAAGTGAAAGTCAAGCCCGGCGTCTGCACATCTAGCTGAAGATTAAGCGACCAGGAAGGGTGGGGCTCCCGGTGTTATTTCATTTTGGATTCAGGCAAGCTAGGGCATTGTAGGGACTCTTGATTAATATTTCACTGGACAGTTTTATTTTGGAGATAAGGGTTGGCTCCAGAATTTCTCTCCAGTAGGGGCTTGGAGACAGACGTGACTCTGATTTGAAGTTGGCCCAGTGGCCTGAGTGAGAGTCCTGGAGGTCTGGTTACAGAGCAGATGCTTTGGACTTAGATTTTTTTACTTGGTAACAGTTTGAGGTTGTACAGCGACAATGTGTATTTGATGGCCCTCATGGTAGACCAAAGCCAGGCTTGGACGTTGACACTGGCTAACATTGCTTTTTTAAAAAAAATTTTTATCAAACGGACTATCTGGAACTTAAGGAATAACCAATAACGAAAGCCAGTTACACAGTTATATAGTTTTGAAACTTGTTTACTTGTAAATGTAGGTCTCAACATTTTTGCCTAATGAGAGTTTTTTTTTTTTTTAAACATCTGTCAGGTTCCACTTAACTGCCTCTTTAGAACTCATGCAGGGTTGCCCACAATGTCAAACTTGGCTCCGAAGTGACTTTGAACAGGACTGCAGATGCTCGCTGTATGGCTTTACCCGTTCCATTGTAGTGTTGAAATTAGAGGGATGTCATGGAGACTTGACCCTCCCAAAGAAGAGTGACAGTGTTTTTAAACTTACTTGGGATAGGGTGATTAGATTTCTAGAATATAGAAATTACCTGTGCAGGTGTTGCTACAACTTGATCGTCTTTAAGAAAAATCAGTCTACGGTGGCTGTCTTCTCGAGCCTTCGCTGAAAGCAGCTCAGTTAATGGCTCAGCCGCCTGGCTCCCTCTTCTCCCTGAGCATTTCAGGGTAGTTTTGTAAGCTGTAAACCGATGGAAGAGCAGCCCCAAACAATTTGATCGTCTTGTGGGCACCAGGCACTGCTAGCCTCTGGGGATGCAACGGTGTGTGAGTCTGTCTCTGCCTCCTTATAAGGGTAAGTATTTGTGTGTCGCCTAAGGAACCCATAGGTGGAGAGCCCAACCCAGTGCGGAAGCGGGGTCCGGAAATGGGCCGCCTATAACCGGCTTTTCTGGAGTGGGGCTAAAATCTTGGTATAAAAATGTACTTTTTTTAGCAATAGAATTGACTGCAGTAATAACTCTTTCAACTTCATTTTACAGAAAACGAGAAAGGACAATACATATCTCCATTTCACGATATTCCAATTTATGCAGCTCAGGTAAGGCTTCCTTGTCTGCGGAACAGTCGTTTTGTCTAGATCGGTTATTTCCGCTGCGGGAATTCTTTAGACGTATCTTAAGTGTTTAAGAAACTTCGCCAGGCTGGGAGGTAAATTAAAATCAGAAGTCCATCTTAAAGCGAGATTCTTCAGTTAGAAGAGCAGGCGTAAACTGGAGCGGGGAGGAGAGGCAGCGAGCCAAGTGAGGGCATTAGGAAGTCACATTGGTCTTTCCCGTATGGGTCTTTGGACTAAAATATTAGGTTTCAACCTCAAACCCTTAGCTGGGGAGTCGAGTTCATCCTAGCGTAGAGCTGGCCCATCTGGTCTCCAAGGCCAATAAAGCTTCCTGGCTGCAGGCTGCCGCGTCTTTCTCCCACAGAGCTTCTGTTGGGTTTGAGCTGCTGGCCCTTCTGGTTCTCAGTGAATGCTTAACCACGGTGCCACCAGGCCTTCTTACTTAGTGGTTTCAAAATCAACCATGTGGCTGCACCATGTTTGCTTGAACTGTGAGAAGTTACAATAAAAATATGCTAGAGTACTCAGGAAAGGTGGGGAAAGTCTACATCCTGGCCCCCGGAGAGGTAAGATCTGCAAAGAGGTTGCCAGGACTTTCTTCCAAGGCACTGCTGCACAGACTGACCTTGGGGCTACTAGGCAAGAGTGTTAACCCTTTTCACCACCCAAGGACTCCAGTGATAAATCCACTGACTCCCCCAGTGTGTTGTGTATTTCACACACAGCGGTGAGCTGAAAAGCTTCACTTCAGCCCTAAGCAAATTTAGTACCAGGACCCTCGGTGGTGCAGTGGTTAAGCACTCAGCTGTTGACCATGAAGTTGGCTGTGTAACGACCAGTTGCTCCTCTGGAGAAAGCTGTGGCCGTCTGCCCCTGCAAAGATTTACAGCCTTGCAAACCCTCCGGCCAGTTGCTGGGAGTCTGAGTGGACTGGACAGCAGGGGAATTGGTGGGTTTGGAAGTTTATCACAAAAGAGGAAGAATCTCCCCCCACAGAAATACACACACACAAAACGACAACGATACAGGCGCACCTCATTTACTTTTCCACTGCTTTGTTGTGTTTCATAGATACTGCACGTTTTTTACGCTGAAGGGTGTGGCAAGCTGCATCAACCCTCTTGACACCCTTTTTGTAACAGCCTTGCTCACTTTACGCCTCTGGGTCACCGTTTAGTTTGTCTCGTATTTCAAACTTTTCCATAATGGTACACTTCATATACTACAGTATAGTGTAAACATCGTTTTACTTGCAAAAGAACCCTCCCCACCAAATGTGATTTATATTGTGATTTCGGCCTTGATAGGGTGAACTGGAACCAAAGCTGCAGTATTTCCAAGATAGGGTTATGCACCAAACACATTTTCAATCCTTGGTTAGTGGGCTTGCTAGTAACTCTTTGCTTTTGTTTCTTGTGTTTTCTACTCATTTTATGGTGTGCATCATTTGCACTTTCAATAATTCTTATGTAAAGAGCACACAGCTTTTTTTAGGCTCCTTCCCAATGCCAGAAGTTTGTACTATATTTTGGAATTGACATACTGGATGGATGTTTAAATCTTTTTTGCACATTTACATATTGTTTCATTTCATCAGGAAGCTTGATTCACAGTAAGTTAAGTACATGCAGTTTTCCCTGTGGTAAAAGCTATTTGCATTTTTCACCGTAGTTCAGTGTCACAACATAAGTGAGTGAACATCGTGTTCGTTGCATGTTCAGAATACTGCTACAGATAAAATTTGGTCCTGGCATATGTTGAGTTCTTTCTGGCTTAACGATGGTAGAACTCCACCTCACTGATTGCCTATCTCATTATCCAGCATTTGTGACATTTCACACTTATAACAATAGAAAAAAATACCCATGCTCTGACTATTTTGCATATGAACTATGTACAGCTGGCGGTAACAAACACCGAGGTTTGCGGCAAGAGGAACATTGGCTGTCATGTTCATGTATCCCTTGGCTAGGCCAAGATTCTCGGTGGTTTGGCAGTTGTGGAATGATACATTCTGACAGGTGTGTACAGCTCGAGCAGTTATATACGGAGATAGCCTGACAGTTAGGTGATGATACAGTGTGGCAGTTCCCTCATTCTCCATTTTGTGATCTGCTGTGGTCATCCTCCATTTTTGCATGATGCCGATTTTCACAGGGTGACCTGGTCTTTGAAACCCGACCATGTCCATGAGTGAGGAACAGTATAGACAGGTCCATGGCCCGCCTACCAAGAAGCTTGCTGCAGTTCTGGTCAGACGCTTGGACTTTGGCAAAATATCTACCTTCATGTTACTTGAGGAGGAGCCTTTCTGAACTGGGCTTCAATCGGAGGCAGTGGAGCAAGCAGCCCAAGGCCAATTACAAGCCACAATTACAGGAGGGACCTCTAATTGGCATGTATGCTCTTGTGGGAGTCTCGTAGCTGCATTTGTTCAGAAACTAATTTGCTACAGTTGATTCCCTGGGAGTTGGTAGGAACTGGCGGATCTTCTTCCCCTTCTCCTTGAAAGCCAGCATTTGGTTGCTTTGAAGTGCCCGTTGTATCTGTATCCGCGGGGGGAGGGGGGAATTTCATTGTCTCTTCATTCCATTTGCCCACAGAATTTTGGATGCTTCCTGATATATTTTGTACAGTATGTTACAGTACATCTCAAACCATCTTGAACCGCAAAGAAGGCTAAACTGAAGACTCTAAATTTAGTGATTGCACTCTGGAATATAGATCTTCTAAAAAAGGGGAACTAACTCTTCACACACTCATAGCTGCTTGGGGTCATTCGAAAGTGATTGGCCAACATTCTTCTGGCAAAGGACCAGAATGATGATAGCAGTGCCGTAGCTAGTCATCTTGCTTCTCCCAGTTCCCCCGAGCAGGGAACAGATGATGTGTGGAGGTGGAGTAGAACTTGCCCCGCATAGCCTGTGACACTGTGAAGTCATTCATGGACTGGCTATTGTCTGTCACCTGTTATTACAGGAAGATTTGGCTTTTCCACTACCCTTTGAGCCTCTGGGTCATGCAAGTGGTCAGTGTGCTTGGCTGCCAGCCAAAAGTTTGGTGGTTTGAGCTCACCCAGAAGAAAGCCTGCTGATCTACTTTCAAAAGCTCAGCCATGAAAAACCTATAGAGCAGAGTGCTACCCACGTGGGCTTTCATGAGCTGAGATCAGTGCCACAGTTCCCGGGCATTAGCATGGGCCTACAGCCTATGCTTCTAGGACAGCTACGGATTTCACAAGGAGTTCAGCCTCCACAACCATAGCTCTTCTGATTCCTGCCTAAGAGGCAGGAAAGAGCTGTTTTATTCTTAAGGAAGTTTGGCTCGTACAAAACACAAGGGTGTGGTAGACAGAAATGTTCTGTCACTAAGAATCATTCATCATCCTTAACTTATGTTTAGGTCCCTCACTCTACCTGGGTGTTTTCCAAAAGACCTGCTTCAGGTGGATGCTTTTCAGACCCCTGATTTCCATCCCACAGTTTGCTTTGTTTTTTATTTTCTTTCTTTCAACTTACCGTTCCATAAACATTTTTAAATGCCTTCAAGACTAATCATGTAAAGGCTATCTCCCCCAATTTCCTATGTATGCAGAATGTGTGAGTGCTCTAGGTTGTACATCTCTTGGGTTCTTACTTTCCGAACTGAAGTTAGAATTGGAACGCAGACAAGAACTGGATAACAATAAGAGATCGTGTTGTGATGATCGAAAATGCATATTATGTGCGACCACAATGCCTGACTTCTAGCAAAGTCACAATACACAATAACCAGAAAACTAAAAATAGGATGTTGGCAACAAAGCCTACTTATCGGAAAAGCTTCTCAAAGCTGTAGAGTAAAGATCACTGGAGTTGGATGAAGAAATCGTGGCCTGGCTGCCGCTGACTGACTCTGTGACAGTGAACTTAAGCACTGTTGGTCTTCCAAGAAAACTCCGTGCCAGTGAGTCAGTGTCAGGCAGGTCAACCCTAAGCACAGAGTAGACTCCTCCATGGTTTCTGACAGAGCAGCCTCTGTGGCTCTCTGAAAGCCTCCTATTTCTCCTGAGGAGCAGCTGGTCGATTCAAACTCCCAACCTCTTGGTTAACGGCCCACAGCATAACCCACCATGCCATCAGGGCTCCTTATTGTTGGTCTTAGTGGGTGTTTTTTTGTGAATCTCTTTATGTCTAATCTCTAGGTGAATTTAGAAAAAAATTCCTTTCTACCACCATAGCCTTTCTCCAAATTTTATTGCAAATCAGATAAATAAAAGAAAGGGAGTGATAGGAATAGGGTGATTTTTTTTTTTTTTTTAAATTATACTTCCGTTTTAAGCTTGATGTTGATTCTGGAGTTTTCTAGAGGAACCAGTGCAGGTCAGCTTGAACATGCTAGTTTAAGCCACTTAGACGGTTCTGCAGTACCATACAAGTCAGAGGGCGATCACCAGTTTTCCAATAAAGGCACATTTACTTTATTACTAAGGTTCCCAGACGGGATGTAATGAACTTAAAGACATGCTTCCCCATATAAGTGTGCTGACGTGTTACTAGCAAAAGCCTACCAGAAGCCTCTTCATGAGTAAATGGCTTGTCTCACTGCTGACTTACTGGTCTGGAGAACTAACCCGTTTGGAGGGTGATGCCTGTTGTTCTGGTACTACTATAACATCCCTGGTTAATCAATGAAGCCGCAAACCTACGCTGAAATAGCTATAGGTCACGCACATGTTTTCTGCCTCTCAAACAATGGTTTGATTAGTGGAGTGATTAAAATTTAGACTTGCTACAATTTCCCATTTCCTTAGACTCTGGACATCTTTACCATTACCATTCTTGACCCCCCCCCCCCCCCCCCCCATTGGAACGATGGCAAGTCAGGTGACTGTTAGATTCTGACCTTGGGAGATCTGTGAGGCTCAAGTTTGCCTTTTTCCTGGCCCCCCACTGCCTCGTCCAGACCATCCCTCTAGAGATGCTCAGCTCGCCCCTTTCTCT